ATATATTGTGTTATATAGTAGTAGTAGTAGTAGTAGTAGTAGTAGTAGTAGTAGTAGCAGTAGTAGTAGTAGTAGTAGAAGGCATCCTTCAGTCTCGGGAGACTATGGAGCTGCGCCCTAGTTGTCAATCCTGGTGCAGCGTCTGGTGTGACTGATGAGGCCAATCCGAGAGTGGCAGTCCATCCCACACCGAGCACAAACGAAGTCCGATTCTGGTCTGTCTTCCTGGCTACCGGCTTTCCTTCTCTGTCTCTTTGCCTCCGATTCCTTGGCAAGTGACTCCTTGGCAAGTGACTCCTTGACAAGTGATTGTGTTATATACCATTGTGGATAATACTCCTCTATGGGTTTGTGTATCAATTATTTTACCTGCAATTTATTCATCTTAATTTTACTCCACAGGAATGAGCTGATTATCCAGACGTGTCCCTGACACTCCAATTGTTCCCTCATTACAAGATATTGTTGATGGTTAAAATAAACATTAACTGGGCTTATTCGAGTTCCTCCTTGAAGTGTAACAACATTAGTCACAACGTCTATATTTATACCTGTTTTAGTAAAATGTTCCACATCACTAAAACGTTAAACCAATTAGAATCTAGACAAAGGGTGAGGGAGAGTGGGTTGCCCACCCACATCCCCGCCTCGGCCCTAGTGTAGGGTGGGGAGGTGCCAGCACCCGTCTGCTGGCACCTCTGGTCATCACACCACACACACACGCACGCGTACCTTGCTTGATGTTACCTTATGATGGTTTCGGGGCTTAGCGTCCCCGTGGCCCGGTCCTCGACCAGGCCTCCTGGTTGATGGACTGGTAAACCAGGTTTTTGGATGCGGCTGCTCGCAGCATGACGTATGAATAACAGCCTGATTGATCAGGTATCCTTTGGTGTTTATAGAGTTCTCTCTCTTGAACACTGCGAGGGGTCGGCCAGTTATACCCCTTATGAGTAGTGGAAGCGTGTTGAACAGTCTCGGGCCTCTGATGTTGATAGTTCTCTCTCAGAGTACCTGTTGCACCTCTGCTCTTCAACGGGGGTATTCTGCACATCCTGCCATGCCTTCTGGTCTCATGTGGTGTTATTTCAGTGTGCAGGTTTGCGACCAGCCCCTCTACTATTTTCCATGTGTAAATTATTATGTATCTCTCCCGCCTCTGCGCTCAAGAGAATATAGATTTAGGCTCTTTAGTCGGTCCCAATAGTTTAGATGTTTTACTGAGTGGATTCTAGCAGTAAAGGATATCTGCACGCTCTCCAGGTCAGCAATTTCTCCAGCTTTGAAAGGGGCTGTCATTGTGCAACAGTACTCCACTCTAGAGAGCACTAGTCGTGAAGAGTATCATCATCGGTTTGGCATCTCTGGTTTGTTAGGTTCTTGTTATCCAACCTATCATTTCTTGGAGATATCACGGCTACTTTATTGTGTTCTTTAAAAGGTAAGGTGTTCCGACATGAGTACACCCAAATCCTTTACATTGCTTTTTCGTTCTATGTTATGATTTGCCTGAGTTTTGTACGTGGTTTCCGTTTTTATATTTTCATTTTTTCTGTAGCGCAGGAGCTGGAACTTATTTTCGCTAAATATCATATTATTTTCTGTAGCCCACAGAATGACCTGATTCACATCTGACTGTTAGTTTGCCGTGTCCTCTATGTTGTCTACTCTCATAAAAATCCTAATGTTATCTGCAAAGGATAATACAGTACTATAGGTTGTGTACTTGTCTCTGTTCGAAATGAGAATGAGAAAAAGTACTGGAGCAAGTACAATACCCTGGGGGACTGAGCTCTTCACGGTTGATGGACCGTATTTTATTTTGTTGACTATTACACATTGGGTTCTGTTAGGAAATTGAAGATCCATCTGCCTATTTTTCCGATAATTCCCTTTGAACGCATTTTGTGTGCAATAACACCATGGTCACATTTGTCGAAGGCTTTTGCGAAATCTGTGTAAATTACATCAGCGTTTTGTTTGTCTTCCATAGCATCTAATGCCATGTCATAGTGGTTCAGCAACTGTGACAGGCAAGAGCGCCCTGTTCTGAAACCATGTTGTCCGGGGTTATGGAGATGCTGTGATTCCATGTATTTTGTGATTTTATTTCTTAGCATTCTCCCAAAGATTTTTATGATGAGTGATGTTAGTGCTATCGGTCTTTAATTTTTTGCCTCTGCCTTATTTCCTCCTTTATGGAGTGGTGTTATCTCTATCTATCCCTATAGAGGGAACGACGTTCCCGTTCCAATCTGCATCTCTTTCTCTTTTTTCTTAGGGGTATGCGGTTTGAGCTTATTTCTAGTACTGAGCTTATTTTTCCAGGCGTTGGTTCAGGTTTGCATTTTCTAGTCGTTCTTCCCAGCATATTTCTGTGAAGTCTTCGTTTATTTACTCCCAGTTTATCTGTTTATTGTTGAAATTGAATTTGCTGAATTCTCGTCCACTGGGATTTGGGAATGGTTTTGCAGGTCTACTCCCCCTGCTTGTCAGAACTTCAATTGAGTTGTAATCTGAGCAACACACACTCTTACTCGTAACAAGTAAGAACGCAAACAAGTATACGCTCCCTGTTCTTCAGCCCAAGAATTATACGCAAATACTTGTACCTTGAAATTGAACCTCGGAATCAAGGGAAGGTAACCGCAAGGTAAGGTAACCTTGTTGAACGGGTGCTCAACAAGTGGAATAAAACTGTCATCCACATTTCCGTGGATATAAACAGTTTAATTTTTGACAGCAGTAGTTTCTTCTGGAAACTTTTCTAGTCTAGTCTAGAAACTTTTCTAGAAACTAGTCTTATTAAGACTACTCAATAGCTCGGTTGATAGCGCTTCAGCCTCACACGCGTGGGGTCCGCGGTTCGAGTCTCCTAGAGTCCCGGTGAATGAAAGAAGTGGAATGCTCCAAAAGAAGTTGTGGAAGCCATCTCCCTCCACAACTTTAAGGCCGAATTCGACTCAGAGTTTGAACGTCTGAATAATTCAATTGTAACACAACAGGTGCAACAAGGCTGGTAGGCGGGGCCTAGAGCTAGACCTCACTCCCCCCCCCCGTAGCCACTGATTGAAATTTAAATTTAAATTGAAATAAGTTTATTGAGGTAAAATACACACAAAGGGATGAGGTAGCTCAAGCTATTCTCACCCCATTCAGTACATCGTGTTAATACATACATAGACACACATCACAAATAAACATATTACCAAACATTCTGAGAGATAAACACATATAAAGTTCCTCCTTCACAAGTAGTATGTTATCAGACGTACACACTGATGGGTTAGTACCGACGCCATTAGAGCTTGACGGACACACCGCCGTCACCGCTACGGGCCAGCTCTGTATTAACCGCAGTCTGCGTATGTCAGCCTCACAGGACAGCTACAGGCTGTCCTGCCCTGCCCGTCCTGCCTGAGGTAGCTCCGAGGATCAAGATTCCCCAAGTCCTGCCTCCTGGTTGATGATATATCTTGCCGTACCTTGCGATCTCTTGAGGTTATCTTGTGATGATTTCGGGGCTTTAAGAGGTTATCTTGTGATGATTTCGGGGCTTTTTAGTGTCCCCGCGGCCCGGTCCTCGACCAGGCCTCCACCCTCAGGAAGCAGCCCGTGACAGCTGACTAACACCCATGTACCTATTTTACTGCTAGGTAACAGGGGCATAGAGTGAAAGAAACTCTGCCCATTGTTTCTCGCCAGCGCCCGGGATCGAACCCGGGACCACAGGATCACAAGTCCAGCGTGCTGTCCGCTCGGCCGACCGGCGATTACCACCAAAATAGCACAGATTTTGCAGCCAAATTATCCAGCAACAAGGATGAAGGTGAATAAGACCTGGGTATTACCATCTCTGTCAACACTATTTTGTTCCAAACACTCAAGACTAATAGAAGAGAAATTACTGAATAACAAAGGCCTGAAAGCACCAGAATAAAAAGCTATTATTTTTTTCAGATCCGAAACCTATGTTTATAGACAGCACAAAACGTTCACCAGACGTCAACTATTAATTTATAAATGCTTACCTTTAACTACTGTATTCTACAACATGAAGGGAACTCACCGAGTACAATCTATTAAATTTCATTAACAAGTTTTGATGTTATCATCAGAGATAACAAATTTGAAAGATACAAGTTCATTTCTTGTTTTAAATAGTTGGATGGTGGAAGTTCTACCTTCTTTCCGAACTTTCCCCTCTTTTTCTACTAGTAATTCATATTATCTTCCTACCTGTTGATGATTCCGAGGATCAACGTCCCTGTGGCCCGGTCACTGACCACACCTCCTGGATGCTGGTCTGATCAACCAGGCTGTTCGATGCTGACGTATGAGTCGCAGCTCCCCTCTTCATTGCCTTTATTGCCCCCCATTACTCCTATTCCCCTACTCCTCGATTCTTTCTTGGATTTACTCTATCCTCAATATATCCTCAGCCCCATTCCCACCCCACTTGTAAAAAAGCAAAAACAAAGCTCACTATACCTGCTTGATTGTTGTTGTTGTTAAAGATTCGCTACCTGGAACAAAAAGTTCCAAGTAGCACGGGCTATGGTGAGCCCGTAGACCTGCTTGATGGGGTTCTGGGAGTTCTTCTACTACCCAAGCCCGGCCTGAGGCCAGGCTCGACATGTGAGCCTGGCCCCAGGCCATCCTCACTTATAATCCAGCCTCTCCGTCATCTTATCCTGTTCTCCCTCAGCCCTATCCCTCAGCCGTCCTGCCCCGCACTGCCTGGTGGTGTGTGTAAGCGAGTCTCACAAATCCCTCCAGGGGCGTCCCTTGCAATAAAAGTGGGAAGCACCTGTGGTGGCAGCGGGAGGAGGCAGGGGCCCTTGACCGCCTGGGGAGAAGGATTATCCTCTCCCCTAGCCGCAGGTGGGGAGAGGACCTCTCTCCCCACCCTCCTGAACACGCGTACAAGGAACAACGATGCCATTTCCCCTCATAAGGCAGTAGAAGCTGGGAGGAAATATTGTAGTGGGGACATGAGAATGTATACAAACGCGTACCACCACTGTCTACCATCACCGGATACAGCTACCGTCTACCATCACCGGATACAGCCACCATCTACCATCACCGGATACAGCTACCGTCTACCATCACCGGATACAGCCACCATCTACCATCACCGGATACAGCTACCGTCTACCATCACCGGATACAGCCACCATCTACCATCACCGGATACAGCTACCGTCTACCATCATCGGATACAGCCACCGTCTACCATCACCGGATACAGCTACCGTCTACCATCACCGGATACAGCCACCATCTACCATCACCGGATACAGCCACCATCTACCATCACCGGATACAGCTACCGTCTACCATCACCGGATACAGCCACCATCTACCATCACCGGATACAGCCACCATCTACCATCACCGGATACAGCTACCGTCTACCATCACCGGATACAGCCACCATCTACCATCACCGGATACAGCTACCGTCTACCATCACCGGATACAGCCACCATCTACCATCACCGGATACAGCCACCATCTACCATCACCGGATACAGCTACCGTCTACCATCACCGGATACAGCCACCATCTACCATCATCGGATACAGCCACTGTCTACCATCACCGGATACAGCCACCATCTACCATCACCGGATACAGCCACCATCTACCATCACCGGATACAGCCACTGTCTACCATCACCGGATACAGCCACCATCTACCATCACCGGATACAGCCACTGTCTACCATCACCGGATACAGCTACCGTCTACCATCACCGGATACAGCTACCATCTACCATCACCGGATACAGCTACCGTCTACCATCACCGGATACAGCCACCATCTACCATCACCGGATACAGCCACCATCTACCATCACCGGATACAGCCACCATCTACCATCACCGGATACAGCCACTGTCTACCATCACCGGATACACAGTCTACCATCACCGGATGTCTACCATCACCGGATACAGCCACTGTCTACCATCACCGGATACAGCCACTGTCTACCATCACCGGATACAGCCACTGTCTACCATCACCGGATACAGCCACCGTCTACCATCACCGGATACAGCCACCGTCTACCATCACCGGATACAGCCACTGTCTACCATCACCGGATACAGCCACTGTCTACCATCATCGGATACAGCCACTGTCTACCATCATCGGATACAGCCACCGTCTACCATCATCGGATACAGCCACCGTCTACCATCACCGGATACAGCCACTGTCTACCATCACCGGATACAGCCACCATCTACCATCACCGGATACAGCCACCATCTACCATCACCGGATACAGCCACCATCTACCATCACCGGATACAGCCACCGTCTACCATCACCGGATACAGCCACCGTCTACCATCACCGGATACAGCCACCGTCTACCATCACCGGATACAGCCACCGTCTACCATCACCGGATACAGCCACCATCTACCATCACCGGATACAGCCACCGTCTACCATCACCGGATACAGCCACCGTCTACCATCACCGGATACAGCCACCATCTACCATCACCGGATACAGCCACCATCTACCATCACCGGATACAGCCACCATCTACCATCACCGGATACAGCCACTGTCTACCATCACCGGATACAGCTACCGTCTACCATCACCGGATACAGCCACTACCATCACCGGATACAGCCACTACCATCACCGGATACAGCCACTACCATCACCGGATACAGCCACCATCTACCATCACCGGATACAGCCACCATCTACCACCGGATACAGCCACCATCTACCATCACCGGATACAGCCACCGTCTACCATCACCGGATACAGCCACTACCATCACCGGATACAGCCACCATCTACCATCACCGGATACAGCCACCGTCTACCATCACCGGATACAGCCACTACCATCACCGGATACAGCCACCGTCTACCATCACCGGATACAGCCACCACCAACAGCAAGACAACAACTTTAACTTCGTGCGCAGGAAAACGGAGACGAAAACTTGTAAAAAAAATAATAAAACACAAAACAAGGAGAAAAACAAAAGTTAAATCTAAAAAAAAAATAAGACGGAGAAAATGAACAAAGGCGTAACAAATATTAAAGAAAAAGTACAGAACACGAAAATGCTTGCAAGAGGACAATGCTGAGAAGTACAATGTGTGGGGGAGAGGGGAGGAAGAGGAGAATGAGAAGGAGGAGAAAGAGGGAAGGGAGAATAGGGGGAGGAAGAGACAAGAGAGGCTGCCAGAGGCCAACAGACCCACCACAGGGAGCAAGAGAAGCCGCCCCTTACCTTGAGGTTACCTTGAGGTTACCTTGAGGTGTTTTCGGGGATTAGCGATCTCGCGGCCCGGTCGTCGACCAGGCCTCCTCGTTGCTGGACTGGTCAACCAGTTCAGCTGTTAAGAGTACAACAATATTCCATCCTAGAGAGCATTAGAGGCCGCCCCAGGGAGGCTGGTGACAAGATAAACATCACACATCTTTAAGATCTCGGAGAGAGAGGGGGGGGGGTAAGGACGGTAGTTGGTGCCTTAATTAAGGCCAGGTGTCTACCTGCCTTGACCATGGTTCCGGGAATCAATGTCACTGCAGCCCGGTTTCTACGTAGTTATTTGACGTATGAATAACATAAATAATGTGGATATTTTATAGAGTGGATTCTAGCGGTAAAGGATCTCTGCACACTCTCCAGGTCAGCAATTTCTCCTTCTGTGAATGGGGCTGTTAGAGTGCAACAATATTCCACCCTAGAGAGCTCTAGTGTCTTGAAAAGTATCATCATTGGTATGGCGTCCCTTGTTTGGAAGGTCCTTGTTATCCAACCTGTCATTTTTCTTGCAGTCGTGACAGCTACTTTATGGTGTTCTGTAAAGGTAAAGTCTTCTGACATGATTATTCCTAGAGCCTTTACTGTTCATTTTTTGTGTGTGATTTGACTTTTGTATATGGTTTCCGGTTTTATATTTTGTAGTTTTCTATATCGCAGCAGATTCACCATTAAACATGTTAGTTTGGGTGGCCACTGAAAGATCTCATTAATTAACATCAACTTGAAGGTTTCCTGTGTTCAACGAGATAATGACTCCACTCTGGTACACTAGTAATACAAGTTCCTGGGCGACTCTTTCGTCAGATTCGTAAAGGCACTTGTTTTCAACTGTCTTTAGGAATATGCAAAGTTGCAATCTGCAATCTAAGGTTGCAACCTTCCGTAAGCAGCTGATGACATTGGTGTGATGTGGGTTTCTGGTGACAGGTTCGGTGTGTTATCAACCTCAAAGTCTTTTTCCTTTCTCTGTCCGATTCCAGGAGTTTCTCTCCCCATGACCCTCTGTTGTTTCATGGTCCAGTTAATCCTCCTCCCATTCCAGCACTCTTCACACCCACGCAAAATTCCCCCGTGTGGGATGGTCTCCAGCGTTTTTATTTTGTTATTTTGGCAATCGATGAAGACGGCCTACCCCCTCTCTTTTGTTTTTCCATTGCCATCAAACAACAGAACTCCAGCCTTTGGGAAGTTAGCCAGACGAGGCCTAGTCAAAACTCCTGGAACGAAGCCGGGCAAAGCCATCCCTCAAGGGGAAGACAAGGCTGTAATTGGTCACAGACTTCACACCAGCCGTCAACCAATTTCAGCACGGACCGGGTAACGGCTTACGGCACACAGGCATCACTACCAACCCGATGCCCTTGGGCATAGCTGCCAGCAGACGCTCCAGTCTGCGGCGTCTTGGCTACCTGGTGTAGGTCTGGACACAGTTCTGCCTACCAGGTGGAACACGCAGTCCTCTCTCGTTACAACCTTCCCGCTCCACAATACTGTCCGTCTGCCAGCATGACGTCCCATGCTTCCTCCATCTTAACCCCCCTTGGATGGACACTTAACCTTCTATCTTCACTATACTTGCTGCCTCCAACCCATTACCAGCTGTGAATCACCCCCTTACCCCTCCCACCTGTCAGCGCCCCCTTGTCTAACACCCCCTCTGACTCACTCCGCCCCTCCACAAGGGCGCGCACGGAACCCCAGGAGCCGCCATTGGGATGCACACCCCCAGACAGCCGATCGTGCCTGGTAAATATGACCAAAATTAGCAGCGTCAGGAGAAGCGGCGTGGCACAACACCTCCCATGCCACACGCTGCCAATACCAACAGTTAGGTCAACTGTAAATCCTGACGGAGAAGAGGGATAGCGGGTGGGGGTGATATTGGGGGAAGGGGGTGCGGAATATGGGAAGGAAGATGGGGAGACGGACGAAGAACAAAAACGTAGGGATTAGGGAGAGAGAGAGAGAGAGAGAGAGAGAGAGAGAGAGAGAGAGAGAGAGAGAGAGAGAGAGAGAGAGAGAGAGAGAGAGAGAGAGAGAGGGGGGGGACCAACAGGAGAGAGGGAGTGGCAACGGACCACAAACTACCATAGTCCGCCCCACCGTCTCGCGAACCACAACCAGGTACCCTCCAGACAACCACCAGGTACACCCCCCTAATATCCACCCGGTACACCCCCTAATATCCACCAGGTACACCCCCTAATATCCACCAGGTACACCCCCTAATATCTACCAGATACACCCCCTAATATCCACCCGGTACACCCCCTAATATCAACCATGTACACCCCCTAATATCAACCATGTACACCCCCTAATATCCACCAGGTACATCTCCTAATATCCACCAGGTACACCCCCTAATATCTACCAGATACACCCCCTAATATCCACCCGGTACACCCACTAATATCAACCATGTACACCCCCTAATATCCACCAGGTACACCCCCTAATATCCACCAGGTATACACCCCCTAATATCCACCAGGTATACACCCCCCTTAATATCCACCAGGTAAGACCAGGCCTCCGGCAAGATGCTCTCACCCACCGCCTCTCTGACCGACCAGGACCACACGGCGTACCTCAAGGTGCCCCCCAGGTACCTCTCCAGGTACCTCTCCAGGTAGGCCTGCCTGGCCCGCCCCGGCCTCAAGACCTACAAACCGCATTGACTTCGTTAAAAGGAGACATGAGAGCAAAAAGGGCATAAATACCTCCACACAACTTAAGAAACTTTCCCTAAATTCAAAAGTCAATTAATGTTTCCTTCAAAACACCCAAAGGTATTAAATAGGTGTATTATTTGCATAAAGTTTTTGTATTGATGGTTATCTTGAGATGATTTCGGGGCTTTAGTGTCCCCGCGGCCCGGTCCTCGACCAGGCCTCCACCCCCAGGAAGCAGCCCGTGACAGCTGACTAACTCCCAGGTACCTATTTACTGCTAGGTAACAGGGGAATTCAGGGTGAAAGAAACTTTGCCCATTTGTTTCTGCCTCGTGCGGGAATCGAACCCGCGCCACAGAATTACGAGTCCTGCGCGCTATCCACCAGGCTACGAGGCCCCTGGTGGTGTATAGTATTGTAGAATAACTTATATATATATATATATATATATATATATATATATATATATATATATATATATATATATATATATATATTGCGGAAACAACCGTGGACATCTTCAAGAGACATCTAGATAGTTTTCTTCAAGGAGTGCCGGACCAACCGGGCTGTGGTTGACATGTAGGCCTACGAGCCGCTTCAAGCAGCAGTCTGGTGGACCAAGCTCTCACAAGTCAAGCCTGGCCTCGGGCCGGGCTTTGGGAGTAGAACAACTCCCAGAACCCCCATCAAGCAGGTATCACACCGGGAAGAACTTCCGGGGATCAACGGCTCCACGGCCCGGTCTCCGACCAGGCAGACCTGCCGACTGGTCATCTGGTCAACGAGGTGGTTAACCAGAGCAAGCATAGTTCCAAGAGCTGGGTATCTAGCTCTTGAAACATTTACCTGCACGAAGAATCTTTCTACACTTTCTGCGGTGCCTGCATTTGTATATTCCATTGTATTTTTCGATATGCCACACTAACACATCCCCCCCATTAATAATGGGTGTACGAGCCGGGGCCAGTTACTCTGAGGGTTACCTTCTTCATCTTGCATGTCACAAAACCATAAGAGGGTTGTTATGGTGTAGCTGTATGACAGCCTGCTTGTGGATACGGCTCATTACACCACTAAGTGGAGGGGGTGGTTGACCACTGGGGTGTGTGGTGGAGGAGGGAGGGGGTGGTTGACCACTGGGTTGTGTGGTGGAGGAGGGAGGGGGTGGTTGACCACTGGGACGTGTGGTGGAAGGAGGGGGTGGAATGACCACTGGGACGTGTGGTGGAGGGGGTGGAATGACCACTGGGGTGTGTGGTGGAGGGGGTGGAATGACCACAGGGGTGTGGTGGAGGGAGGGGGTGGAATGACCAAGGGGACGTGAAAAATGGAGCTCAACCACCTATAGACATGAAAACGTAATTAAACAATCACCCCCTTTCCCAGGATCTCCACCCCCCACCCTTCCTCTCCCCTCCCCACCAGATGTTAAACTCCCCCGTCTCCCCTCCACTCTGACGAGCCTGGTCTGAGGTCCACAATATATTCAACTGGTAACCAAATCATTAGCACTAGTTCAATGACACTAGTGTGGTCAGCACGTGGTTCTGCCTCTCCCAGAGACATCACATCACTGTGTGTGTCTATATTAACTCTGCCTCCGGTAATTATGGAGCGCGAGACAGCTGACTGTGATGTCTGGTAATGCGCAGCGACTAAGAGCGTGAGTCAACCACCGTCACACTAACGGAATAAATGTAAATGATTCTTGTATGATCGAAAATTTTACTGCTAGGTGAACAGAGGCATCAGGTGTAAGAAAGCACTTCACCCTCCGCGGGTTTCCAACCATCGAGTTGTGAGCTGACTGACCTTTCACTTAATACGACGTATTTGTAACGGAATCGATTAATACCTTAAAAAAATGACGTATCAGTCAAACTAAAAGCACCGTAATACTGACTTTTTTTTAAGCATCGGTCTCGATAGGTTAGGTGGGTTGCTTGGGTTTGTATTTTGTAATTTAGTTTGAAATACAACTTTCTGGCTAGACAAAAGTTGTATTTTGTACGGAGCGACGAATCTTAAAAGTCTGCGAAAAATTGCAACTTACCACCTTTTTTGTAATTAAATAAAAAACTTAAATTATTAATGTAGTAATGTGCATATTAATACAAAAAATACAAAACATATATTACCACAAAATCATTACAAAATATACACAATTTGTATAACCAGTAAGCCACATGTAAAGTGATATGTGTTGTCATTTATTAACAGTAATTAGTAAATAACAAGACTCTGGTATTATTTTATTCAACAGTATGAGTTAATTATTATTAATTGACTCTATTGTTCTACTTAACATGTGTCGGCCCAGGTAGGTGTTCCCCTGAGAACCAAACATCTGTTGGCCGGGTAGGAGGTTCCAGAAGATCTGACGAAATATTTCAAAGTGTTCCTCTAAGCCAAAAGGGGTAAGGGGCCACTGGGGCGCATATTCTCCTTCCCTTGAATTGTTTACTTCTCGGGGGACCTTCGACCACCTCATTACACCTCACTCTACTCGTGTGCTTATCTACTTCAGCGTCCACTATACGTCCCAGCCACACCACCACGTGGCTTTCAAGCCACACCAAGTGGGTGTGAGTCTTAGGCCCACCAGCTGTAGGAGTGGGTCTTGGCCCCACCAGCTGTGGGAGTGGGTCTTGGGGCCACCAGCTGTGGGAGTCGGTTTTGGGGCCACCAGCTGTGGGAGTCGGTTTTGTGGCCACCAGCTGTGGGAGTGGGTCTTGGGCCCACCAGCTGTGGGAGTGGGTCTTGGCCCCACCAGCTGTGGGAGTGGGTCTTGGGGCCACCAGCTGTGGGAGTGGGTCTTGGGGCCACCAGCTGTGGGAGTGGGTCTTGGGCCCACCAGCTGTGGGAGTGGGTCTTGGGGCCACCAGCTGTGGGAGTGGGTCTTGGGGCCCACCAGCTGTGGGAGTGGGTCTTGGTCCACCAGCTGTGGGAGTTGGTCTTGGGCCACCAGCTGTGGGAGTGGGTCTTGAGCCCACCAGCTGTGGGAGTGGGTCTTGAGCCCACCAGCTGTGAGA